GGCGTAGCCGCGTAGGCCTTGTGGGGTCTGGCATTAAATTTCTTCGACAATCAAGATTCAGAAAATTGATCCTATAAAAGGGATTTTTGACACGCTTCATTATAGTTTTTTTTTTACAAGGTGTCCGGGCTTGCGTCCGACTAGATCCTTGTCCCTGAACCTCCGGCCCCTCAGCATCTCAGGGAGGTAAATCGCAGGATGTGCCCTTGTTGGCTCCCAGGTTCCCACAACTCATTTGGACTCCTTCCGCAAAGAGAGCTCTCCTCGCTGGGCGTTTGTTCAACCAAATGGCTTCCCCTCCATTTTAGCACCCAGTGTTAACTCCAGGAATCGAACTCTCCACCCTTGCTTCCAGCGTCCCAACGAAGTGATTGTTCCACCAACTCGGATGTGCCCTGAGGGCCGCTTCATTATAGTTAACATTATGTGTGTGTGTGTGTGTGTATAAATATAATCTTGACTGAAACAAAATTAATTGAGATTCTACCAACTAAACATCACAATCAATTGAACAAGCGCGTAAAATCTGAAAGCTACTAACGGAACACAAATCTAGGAAATCACAAAAACAAGTATAATAAGAAAAAATAGGCAAGAGAGAGAATAACGCGATAAAGCGACGCGGGGTGGCTGACTAGTTCGATAGCGAGAGGTGTGATATATACAAATATACCTGCGGAGTAAACAGAAGTACCGCGGAAAATTCGACACGGCGAAGCTCTCGTGGGAGAGAGAGGGTGGCGCGTTTAGGTGAATAAATAGTGACTTTGCTAAGTGAGTCTAGGTGGCATCCAAACCTTTCAAAAATAAGCAGTCAAGTCCCAAACCTTCTAATCTTAATATTTACATCCTAAAAATTTTAATAAACGTGCAAAATAGGGACCTCTATCGATTTCTTAAAAAAATCTGTGAATTGATCAAAAGTCAAATGTCTAACCTTGATTTAACCAATTTTAATGAGGGCAAAAGGGTTTCTTTACATTTTTTTCCCTTAAAACAATTAAAATAAGTAAACAATTGGTCAAAGTAAATTTAGACGTTTGATTTTTGATTAATTGACATGTTTTCGAAACAAAAATTGTTAAAAGTAATTTCGAAATACATTTATTAAGCTTGTGTTTGTCTGTCATTTTGTTTCTCATTTTTAGAAGAATTCTAACCATTATACAGTAAAGATGTAGGTGCGTCCATTCAAAACAAAATTACCTTTTTAACATTTATTTCAAAGTTAAAGAGGGGCATTTCAAGGAATTTCCATGTTGTTGAGTAAAAAAAGGGCTGTATATGGGGCCACTTACTATTTCAATGGGCAAAAACCTTCTAAAAATGTGGTGAAAATGGTACCAAACAAGAGCTAAATATTTGCGATGTAGGTGCTAAGATTAGAAGGTTCAAGACTTGATTGCATATTTTTTAAAAATTTGGAACCTCTACTATAAATTTCCCTAAAATGAAAAGCCAAAAAGAAGACTTGCAAAGTCTGTGTGTGTGTGTGTGTGTGTTGGGGAGGTCATTTGTGTAGTTGTGGGTGTGATGAGAAATTTTGACTTTCGTTATTGAATTTACGTCCAAATATTTTATTATATAAATGTATCATTGAAATGAGTATGATAAACAATGTAAGTAAATTAGAGGGAATCAAATAGGGGCTAAATAATTTGAAAGGGTCGTTTGTCTTTTGAAAGTTAAAAGTTGATTTTAATTTTAAAAAGCTTTTGAATTTGTTCAGATAATTTTTTAAAGTACTTTACATATTTAGAAGAATTTTTAGAAAAAATAAAAATATAGTTTGACGAAATTATAAGCAATTATAATTTTTGACAAATTTAGAATTCGAATATTTACTCGAAAAAGAAAATTTTAAGTATTTAAGCAATGGGTTGGTAGATAACTAATTGAAAATTTATCCTTATGATTATATGGCAATAATTCAATAAAAGGAGGATTATTTACTGCAAGTTCAATGAATAACGAAAATAGAATACCAGATGGTTAGGACATAGCAAGGTGTGGATTTTTATAAATCACATGCCTACCCTTTTTTTTTGTAACATTCATAGCGACATAATTATAAAAGCTTTGACGGAATTTTAGGAGTTATTGATTTTTCTAGTTGAAATGTTTGATCAATTTTTTTATAACTTTGGTTTAAATACTATGTCGGTTATTTGCCTAGTTCAAATATAAGTAATATCAAGTCGCGTGAATATTTTTTTAATTTTTTTTCGAGATTAGCATTTGTTTTGTATTTAATTACAATTTTTTAATTGGTAAGTGAAAGGTAGAGGATCGTAATCGCTATTGAATAATATTGAAGAAGAAAAATATTTTTTTAAATAATATCGAAAGAAAATTTTGTCTTTTTTATTTGTATCAATATATTAATAATGTCATACATGTTGGTTTCTTGTCTCACAAGTTTTGAGTTCTTTTGTTTTGACTACTAATTTCTATAGTGAAAACATAAATATAATTAATAAAAATTTAAAATACTTATTGACCATCTTAGACGTACGAACTACAACCGTGTTGAATTTCATAAGTAAAAATTGGGTGTTAGTAAATTTCAAAATTTAAATAACTAGATTCAGCCCCTGTTTAAACCACATTTTTACCTCATTAAAATGAAAAATATGACCGTTATCCATCACATCAAACCACCATTTTTGAATTTCTATCTCTAATGTGGGGCCCATAACGGCTCTATTTCTCATTCTCATTCTCATTATAATATGTCTCAAACAGGCTCTCAATTAAAATTAGATATTGTTCAAGCAAAATTAAAATTCATACTCTTCTCGGAGCCATTTGAAAACTTTATGTATTTGAAAATTTATTTGAGCTTGTTTCGCTTCTTTTATCGAATCAAGTTTAAATAAATTATTAATTTTTAACCAAGTATTATTAAAATAAATTGAAAATTTTGAATTAAAAGTGGATAGTTGTGAAAAATTTTATAGAGACAAAATTACAATTAGCCCTTGAATTTCAATCCAAGGTCTTTGGATACATGCATATAGTCATATAGAATAAGAGGTCAATTTTTCTAGATCCTATACGCGTTCTAACGAGTTTGACATTGTAAAAATTGAGTTCTTTATGAAATATTTTAAAAAAGAAGCAACGTAATAATATTTTAATAGAAGAGAGAGGACACATAATATTGTTCGACGTCCATCATTTTTAAAATTCATTTTTTTCTTTCTTTTCAACCACATATTTTTCAATAAAATAATATTAAACTCTAACTCAAAATTTTTATTTATTTTTTAATCACACATTCTCTATCAGTCTACTATTATAAAATGCATTCTTAGATTAATAATGAGGCTCAAATATGTACTCATTTTCAATCACATATTTTTTATTAAAATAATATTACACGTAAATAAAAAAAATTCTATTCTTTTTTAACTATACATTTTCCATCAATCTACTATTCCATAATACGTTTTTCAAAATTAAAAATACTCAAACACGTCCATAACCTTTTAAATTCATTGATTTGATAGCAAAAATATTTTTTTTATTTACTATTTTAATTTTTTATTTATTATGTTACTATCATCCAGGAAGTGAACATGCACTCACATCAGTTAATCACTTTCAATGTCCATCCAAAATTGCCTAGAAAAGAGGTTATTTTTAATGTAGAGGTTTTTTGGGCCCATTTATTTATTGTAAATTTACTTAATAGTGAATATTTTAAGCTCGGCCAAACATACATTACGCTTGAAGGGTACAGAGTAAAAGTACTAAGCAATTGCTTGGATTATTAAACACCAAAAACTATTGGGATATTTTCTAGGAAATAGTCTTGGGTTGGACATTGTCTCAATTTAGTCTGATTTCTTTTTGACTTCCTGTATTAATAAAGTTATTTGAATTAATATAAAAATAATGCTACTCATAATCGCTACCAACCTATAGTAGGCAGTATATATGGCGGTCCGTGCGGCAATAGAAGCCACGTATACTTGGAATTATTCATTTTCAATAAAAAAAAAAATTAAAGGCAAAAGGCTCATTTTTGAAGTCTAAGGGGCATTAATCTCATCTTTCTCCTTCCATTCAACCCAAACAGTCACGCCTAAGAGAATAACTCTAAAGGTCCGTTTGATTACAAAGATGGAATTGAATTGAATTGAAAACGAATTCCAGATAATTGAATTGCTTGGAAATTATTTTATTGGGACTTGTAAATTATTGTGTTTGATTGGTATAATTTTCCACGTGAAAAATGTTGAAATAAAATTATTTTTTAGTGTTCGTTTTGTTTTGTTTTACATGAAAATTGTCAATTAAAATGATAGAATTTACTGGTATTGGGGATAAAATTTGTTTCAATTGTCAACCAAAAAAAAAGTTAAGAAAAACATCTATTTTTTTTGTATTCGTTTGATTTTGTTTTATATGAAAATTGTTAGTTAAAGGGAAATATTTTTTTACAATAATTCTTAGAATTTATTTCCATTGCATAAAAAAAAATCGAAAAAAAATGCTACAGTAACCCAGAAAACGAATGATGAGAATTCGAATTCAAGAAAAAGCTAGAAATGCTCACGTGGCGGCCAAAGGTGGAAAACGAATTTCTTGAAAAAATTTGTCAATCAAACAAGCCAAAAGTAGAAGTTGAAATTTGTTTTCCATTTTCCCTAGAAAATAAATGGCTATCAAACATAGCCTAATATCTTTAAGTACCATGCAATTTTTATGTAGTTGGAGTAGGAGATTTCTTGAAGGTTAAAGGCGCGAAGTAAATCGTTAAACTTCAAGAAGAAGTCTATGGATATGTTAAACTCAAAGACATAAAAATAATAATAATAATTAATTCTTTTTTATTTGCCTGTGAACCTATGCTGTGTCAGTACTTCTCAAAAAAATGACGCGTTGACGGTGCTTTCTAATTTGCATTACGGTAAAATAATA